CTATCTCTTTTTGTGCTGCTGCTTAGCAATTTACCAGGCTTATTGCTTCCCACTTAAAAACTCTTGCAATGATAACATATGATCTCAAACACACACAATAAATGTATATATATATATATATATATATATATATATATATATATATATATATATATATATATATATATATATATATATATATGTATATATATATATATATATATATATATATATATATATATATATATATATATATATACATATATATATATATATATATATATATATATATATATATATATATATATATATATATATATATATATATATATATGCATATATATATATATATATATATATATATATATATATATATATATATATATATATACATATATATATATATTTATATGTATATACACCGTACATACACACACGCATGTAAATGCAACTTATTCACCCACGCCCGCCCTACACCCGCTTGCTGAGGCTTCCACCACGTCTAGCAAAGCACTGGCCAGACACATGGAACCCCCCCCCCCCCGCCTCAACCTCCACCTCCTCCACCATTCCCGTCTCTTTTTCCACGGAATTCCTCTCTTCCTTCTCCCCTCTTCTTGTTTATCTCACTGTGTGTATATATATATATACATATATATATATATATATATATATATATATATATATATATATATATATATATATATGTATATATATACATATATATCCCTCCCTCCCTCTCCCCGTTCCCTCTTCCACCTTTATCCTTCCCATCTCATCTCCCTCTCTCATCTCCCCTTATCGCTCTCTCCGCCTCCTTTTCTATCTCCCCTCTCTCTCCTTTCGCTTCTTCCTCCAGTATTGTCGCCTCTATCAGCTCTCCTTATCTTTCTCTTCTCTCCTCTTCCCCTTCCCCTCTCTCTCCGTTCTCACTCCTCCCCTCCCTCCTCTCCCCCCACTCCCCCCTCTTTCCCTCTCTCTCTCCTCCCTCCTCTACCTCTCCTTCTCCCTCCTCCTCCATTCCCCCCTCTCCCTCACTCCCCCTATCCCTCTCTCACTCCTCTCCCATCCCCTCTCTCTCATCTCCCCCCTCCATCTCCGCTTCTCCCTCCGTCCTCCTCCCCCCACTCCCGCTCCCTTTCTCCCTCCCTCCTCTACCCCTCCCCCACTCCCCCTCCCCCCCTCTCTCCCTCCTCTCTCTCTCCTCTTCCAGCGCAATCGACGACGCGCCCGACGACTATAACGAGCGGTATATTGACAGATCTAACTTATCTCGTGTTTATGCTAACACCGACCGCGTGGTGGAGGAGCTGCCGTCATGGCCGTCGGTGCCCCCCCAGGAGTCCGATCTGTTCGAGTCGCAGCAGCACTTCCAGATCAGGCTGAAGGATTTCAGGTGAGGGAGGCCTTTGGGCTTTCTTTTAGCGGCTGGATAAGATGTGAGAGGGGTGGATGGACAGGTAGATGAATGAATAGGAAGGGTAAAGACAGGAGATATGTGAATATATGGATAGATGGATAGATGAAGAGAGAGAGAGAGAGAGACAGAGACAGAGACAGAGAGAGAGAGAGAAAAAAGAAATATAGTTGGAGAGAGAGAAAGACATATATATAGATAGATAGATAGAGATAAAGAAATATAGATAGATAAATAGATAGATAGAGAGAGAGAGAGAGAGAGAGAGAGAGAGAGAGAGAGGAAGTGAGACAGAATAAGAAAATGCTAACCCATTCGCCCCATGTGGCAAGAACACATGCCATGCCTCCTGTAATCCACGTTTGCAGTGCAAAAGCAAGAGAGCAAGAGAAAGAAGCAGAAAGCCAGACACTGACCAAATACCCCCCACCTCCACATCCGACCCCTCCCTCACCCCGCCCCCCTTTCCTCTTCAGGGACCAGCTGGACGAGAGCGACACGAAGATCCGGGACAAGATCGACTTCTACACTTCCATCACGACGCCGCTCATCAAGCAGCTGACGGTGTCCACGAGCACAACCAACACCCCAGGACTTTGGCAGTGAGTGGGCGTGGGCGTGGGGGTGGAGTGGGCGTAGGGGGAGTGGGCGTAGGGGTGGTGGGGGAGTGTGTTAAAATGGAGGTTTTTATTTATTTATTTATTTTTACTTTTTTGTGTATATTCATACCTATGAATTTATTCTGGTATCATCCTCATGTGCTTATCATTATCATTTTTAGTGTTGTTCTTAACATTATTGCTCTTATTATAATTACTATCATTATTAATAGTATTACCGGAACAATAATAATAATAATAACAATAATAATAATAATTATTATTATTATTGTTATTATTACCATTACTATTATTACTATCATCATTATCATTATCATCATGGTTATCATTAAAATAATAATTATTGTCAATATGATTAAGTTGATCATTATTATTGTTAACATTACTTTTTAAATTATTGTTTCTGTTACTATTATTATTATTATTGTTGCATTATTATCATTGTTGTTATTGCTATTATTATTATTATTATCATTATAATCATCATCGTCATTATCATTATTATTGTTAATATTATTATCATAATCATTATTCCTATTACTATTGTCATTGTTATTATCATCATTATTATCATTATTATTATTATTATTATTATTATTATTATTATTATTATTATTGTTATTATTATTATTATTATCATTATTATTATTGTTGTTGCTGTCGCTTTTGCTATCATTATTATTGTTACTACTACTACTACTACTACTACTATTATTATTATTATCATTATTATTATTATTATTATTATTATTATCATTATTATTGCTGATGCTGTTACTACTATCATTCTCATTATTATTATCATTATCATTTTTATTATTATCATTATTATTACTACTACTACTTCTATTATTATCTTTATCATTTTATTATCATTCTTAGTATTACCATTATAACCATTGTCATTATTATCATAAATATTGCCATATTAGGATTATTGTAATTAAAGGGATAACCTAAAGTGTATAATCAGGGATATATGTACGTATTGAACATCTCTTCCTTTTTTTCATCATTACATAGATATAAATAATTCTTCGCTCTTCATTGTCAACATTGTGCAGCAGGATGTAGTTCAAATAATTGAATAATTACGAAATTGATGTAAATATTTTTTTGCTTTCTTTCTTGCCTTTTGTGGTCTAAATATCAATTGTTCCCTTTCTTAAATGACAATTCATTCTGACAGATCTATACATACATTAAGTGTTGCAAAAAACTTCTCTTGCACTGCACTGCTTGTCTCCTTCCTTGCAACATGCCACGCAACGGATTCAACAGATGGTGCAACAAAGTTCAACCATTAACGTAACATGGCTGACTCGAATCAAACAGAATAAACCATTACACGATTAACTTTGAAAGAGGAAAAGTTGAAGAATCTTTACGTAGAGAAAAGTTTGTTTATTTACCCATCTGTGATATCCACGCTGCTTGTCTGTGGTGCTATCCACCAGCGTGTCATGCAATTTCTTTTTTGTAATGTTAAGATGCATTACATGTCATTATTTTCGCTCCCTCATTTCATCACTGCTGCTGATTATCTTTGTGTCACTATCACTAATGATATCTTCGTCCGTATGGGGATAACTAAGTTGTTTAAAAAAACAAAAAAACTCATCATTAGCCGTACTTTCTTTATCTTTCAAGATCATGACTATCCGTATTGTCTATTCTTGAAATCTTTGATACTGTTACCATATTCGTACAATGGAGTGCGCGTATGTGTGTGTGTGTTTGTTACTGATGTTTGTGTGTGCGAAGAGTTCAAACTTAACGTTTCGTTTTTATCCCATTGACATATTTATATATGTAAACGAATGAAGATGAAGAAGCAAAAAGTGAATGGACAAAACGAAACAAACCTCTCCCTCATTTCCCGCCTTTATTCCTTTCTCTCCTCCCCTTTCCTCCCTTCCACCTCTTCCCCCTCCCTCCCTCCAATCCACCTCCTCCCCCTTCCCCCCCTCCAATCCAACTCCCCCTTCCCCCCCTCCAATCCAACTCCCCCTTCCCCTCAGGCTCCTGGAGGCCTACAAGAGCATCATTCAGGCGCTGGAGAACCTCGGCCGCAGCGCCATCTTCGGTCTCTACTACTACGGGCGCGGACACCTTGACCAGGGGAGTCTCTTCCAGTACGTGCGGTTTTGGACCATCGCGCACTCGGGCATAAAGGTGAGAATGGATTGAGGCCTGATTGGGTATCGTGTCTTTCGTCTTTTTTTCCCTTCTTTCTTGTTTTTTTTACTTTTCCTTTTGTGGTTCTTTCTCGTGTTCTCCTTTTACTATAGCTTTTTTTTTCCTTTTCGTCTCCTATTTCTTCTTATTTTTCCTTATTCTCCACTTCCTTTTGTTTCTGCTCCTCCTCTTCCTTTTGCTGCTCTTCCACTAAAGAAGCAGAAAAAAGGAGAATGACAATAAAGAGACTTATTACCATATGGTAAAAAAACAGTATCATTAATAATAATAATAACAACAATTACAACTATAGTAACGTCGTTAATGAAGAGAGTACATTCTAATAATAGTGACAACGTTTAGTAATAATTTCCTAGTGTAGTTACATATATAAGCTCTGTCACTATTATCAATCATCCTATTCAATATAATCTCTATAATATCGCTATCATCATTATTATCCTTCTTCCCTTGTCTCTGCTTCCTCATCCCAATGATTGAATTTGTTCCTCCTCCTCCTACTTATTCTTGCCCTTCTCTTCCTTCATTTCCTCCTCCTCTTCTTCCTCTTCACTCTTGTCCTTATCTTACTTCGCTTCCTCCTCGTCCTCCTCTTCCTCCTTCTTGCCCTTCTCTTCCCTCGTTTCCTCCTGCTCCTCCTCAATAAATAAATAAACAAAACTGCGCCGTCCTCCCTCCCCCGCAGACCACCGGCGGCTTCTCCACTCGCGGCAAGGACTACCTGGTCGTCCTCCGTTCCCGCGAGTATATGCAGCAGATCCTGGCGTGGGACGAGGAGATCCGGC